TTTATCACTGTTTTTGTAAGGCTGACAAAGCCGGGATTACCTTTCGATCAATACATGTTATTGTTTTAAAGTTGTGCAAGATGAGACTGACACTTGTATACAATACAATAAGCATTGCGGACAGGATTTAAAGGATTGCGAGGGAAACGAAAGCGACGCTGGCCCGCAGTGCAATAAAGGCCTGGGGAGAACACTGATCTTATAAAGCAGCATTGAAAATATCAAACTCGTACATGTGTAGAAAGAACGAACAACAAGAAACGACCAATCCCATGTAAAACGCTTTTTTTTAGAAGGTTCACAAGAATAATAATGGGCTAGGAAAGTCCTAATCACAATGAATTATTACACTTGTTTCCCGTCTTGCTACCTTAATTGCAAATCAAGACCCAGAAGAGCCAGGACTCAAAATTAACAAAATTGAGCAAGATTGTTCGTCTCTATTTTCGATTACCGAACAGAGAATTCTGCATGTGATTCAGTGGCTTGATGGCACACAAAAATGCTAAAAGATCAATCATAACTGAATCTATGGAACTACTGCATGTATATCTGTTGCATTTACTACAGTACACGTATTATTTAACATTGTCAAAACATTCAAACAATTTGTCTTACAATACAACTTTAAATGCTGACCATATTTGTGATTGAGCTTAGCCATTGGTTGTCGAATAATTTGTTGCCAAATGAAATGAAATTTAAATTAAAATTGCCTTTGGCAACTGTTGAAGTGTTATCCAGATTGTATGTGTCAATTTTTTTCAGTTACATTGTGTTATCTTGCTCCAAACTTTAAAAAAACGATGTATAATAATAAGGTTATAATGAGGATACCAAAAAGTATGCATTCGGACAGTACGCGGTCACATCAACCTCCTATGCGCTTTGGCCAATACTCCTGCTGTTCTGTCTTCGTACTTACTTTTCGGTATCCCGTAATAACCTTATATTATTATACCATATCCACTTGGAACCACCCTAATCATTGCTTGCAGTTCCAATTTTAAATGTGGTACTTGCTTTATTAGAAGCACATACATGTACATGTACAAAATGTATGATCAAATAACAAAGGCAAGTCTGTGCTCAAAATAAACATATTTCAATGATTTTGCATGCAATAAATACAATTTTTGCTTCATGGGTATTGAAGATACATTGTATGCATCTAATATAATAAATACAGTATACCTTATTTGTATTTCATGCCTCCAATACCTTTAGCACACAGAAGTTTTTTTCTAAGTTTTCTTTGATTTTAATGGGTTCTATATTTAATAACATACAAAGATACACATGTATCATTTACTGAATCATAATTACTGTGCTACTCTATTGTTAGATCAGAAGATTCTTCTGAGGCTCGTTTACAGCGTTCATTGGCGAATGATGAGATGGACAGTCGGTTTGGATTTGATAGATATAAAGAACCAATAGAGAAATTAGGATGGCTGATAAATATGCATCCAGTAAGTATCAATCTTGAACAAGTTTGCTAACTGACCTCCACTAACTGACCTCAGCTACTTTACCTATGCTAACTGACCTCCACTGACTGACCTGCACTAATTAAAGGGCGGTGGTCATCACACCACGCATGCATGACATATAGGTCATGTATATGAGCAAAGATGACTTTGACTGTTGTGCGTACAAACTGAGTACAAAGTGATATGTTATCAAGTTTTAACTAGGGAATTTCTTTTGTGATTGGAAGATATGGAAGAGACACTGGCGGTAATTAGTTCACATAGCGGCTAGCTAAAACACGTACTTATACAACCTTTGCTAAGTGATCTCCACTATCTGACCTGCACTATTTAACCTTTGCTAAATGACCTCATCTAATTGACCTCTTCTAATTGATCTCTACTGTTAACTGATGTCTATAGGTAAACCTTATATGACATGTCAGATTGTGTAACTTATTATGCATTATTATTGATTACAGACTGAGATTTTAGACGATGACCGTCGTTTGATTAGTGCTGTTGATTATTATTTTATTCAAGATGATGGCAGTAAATTCAAAGTAGGTGTTATTATTTGATAATAGTACATGTGTCACATGTCTTGCCTTATTTGATAATAGTACATGTCACATGTCTTGTCATAATAGTCCGTATTCTAATTCCATCCATGTAACTGTTCACATCTGTATCTCAGAATGCCTAGGCCGATTTTATTCAAACTTTCACACACATGTCATGCATCATAAACATATTTGTTGCAATTCAAGATAGCCAAATGGTGATCATTTCATTGCTAAGAAATGAAGTATTTTTGCCATTCTGGAACTAGATCTCAGTCATGCATGTGACAAATTTCATTCAAACTTGGTATGTCATTTGAACATAATGGGTCCTTGATGCACATCATTTTCCCCCCAGATTTGAATCAAAATGGCTGATTGATTTTTGTTTTTAATGAATGCTGTTTTTGTAGCCATATTGCTAACCAGATTGGGCTAATTTTTTTAAACCTTACGCATTTGTACAAGCATCTGTTTCAGAATCTGATTCAAAATGACTAATCATCATTGCCATGCTAGAAATGCATTATGGATGTCATGGGCAGAATAAAGGGAGGAATCACACAAATAAACTGCCTCCTCTTTGTATCATGTCTGTCACATGAGTGTAATTTATTATTTGGCACTAACGTTGACCATCGGAAAAAACTGGGCATTAAAGTTTTGTTTGGTAAACCGTCCTTGTCGCAGGACTTACCTCAACCTTTTGAATGTCAAAGTTAACTTTTGTCATCATTTACAGAAGTAAACCTACCAACAATTTGAATCAAGACCTGTAGTTGATGGAAAATTACGTCTAATGGATCCAAAATTAACAAAATTGCTAGAAAAATACATACAAAATGCAAAATGATGGCATTCAATGAGTTAATTTGGCATGATGTACATGAATTTACAAACTTGTCTTTGCTTCCAGGTCTCTCTACCCTATAAGCCATATTTCTATGTTGCAACTAAGAAAAATACTGAAAGAGAAGTGTCTGCATTCTTGACACGTAAATATCAAGGTGTCTTGTCTACTCTTGAAACAATGCCAAAAGAAGATCTAGATTTGGTGAGTGCAATTGTATGAGTTGGTGTTTAGACAAGAAACGAGGTCCAGTTTTAGGCTGGAAACAAGGTCCAGTTATAGGCAGGAAACAGTGTCCAGTTTTAGGCTGGAAACAGTGTCCAGTTTTAGGCTGGAAACAGTGTCCAGTTTTAGGCAGGAAACAGTGTCCAGTTTTAGGCAGGAAATGTGGTCCAGTTTTAGGCTGGAAACAGTGTCCAGTTTTAGGCAGGAAATGTGGTCCAGTTATAGGCAGGAAATGTGGTCCAGTTTTAGGCTGGAAACAGTGTCCAGTTTTAGTCAGGAAATGTGGTCCAGTTTTAGGCAGGAAATGTGGTCCAGTTTTAGGCAGGAAACGAGATTCCAGTTTTAGGCTGGAAACGAGATTCCAGTTTTAGGCTGGAAACGAGATTCCAGTTTTAGGCTGGAAACAGTGTCCAGTTTTAGGCTGGAAACAGTGTCCAGTTTTAGGCAGGAAATGTGGTCCAGTTATAGGCAGGAAATGTGGTCCAGTTTTAGGATGGAAACAGTGTCCAGTTTTAGGCAAGAGACGAGGTCCAGATTTAGGCAGGAAACGAGGTCCAATAAAAAGCAACACTGTTATCACTGCGAGGTTTCATTTTATATAGATTTGATCTTGTTTTGTCTGAGTATTCCACATTATCTGTTGTTTACTTTAATGAATTTTGACCATGTTTTATTGTATTTCATGTTTTCTTATTTGATAAAAATTCATTACATTGAATCCACAAAATGTTGGAAATGTTAATTCCAATTTGATTTCTCTTTTTTTTCAGCATAATCATTTAGTTGGTTTGAAAAGGAATTACCTGAAGTTGTCATTTTTAACTGTCTCTGATCTGAATAAAGTAAAACGTGATTTGATGCCAGTTGTTCGGAAGAACAAGGAAAGAGAAAAGTCTTCAGATAGCTATACATCTTTGCTAACCAGGTAAAAAATGTTTTTCTTGACATGGAATACTAGTAATGGTCACATATTTTACAAAAAAATCTGTGTTGATTCAAAGATGTAATTCACACCTCAGAAATCAGGATTCCATATTCAAACAGACTTTAATAGATTTTTTTATAATTTTTTTGTATGTTTGTACATTTATTTACAGTCAGTTGTCTGGTCAAGCGGAAACCTCTAGCACAGCGTCTAAGAAGTTATCAGATCAGCTGGACAACATAATAGATATAAGAGAATATGATGTGCCATACCATGTCAGAGTAGCCATAGATGGTAAAATACATGTGGTGAGTACTATACCATGTCAAAGTAGCCATAGATTGTAAAATATATGTGGTGAGTGCCATA